ACAGTACATCAACAGAGGTTGTCTTTTAATGGAAATTAAAAATACAATGGATCTCCCACTATGCTTTGCCTCCATCATATACGGTGTAATAAAGGCCAAAAGTAAAAATAAATAAATACACTCAGCCTCATTATCAAAAGCTAAGGAATAAAAATTTGTAGATTTGGGATTTTGACTTGGGCCAGTAAGTTACCACCCAGAACACCCTAGCAGCTGCATAGCAATGCTAAAAAACAAAACTTTTGCAAAAAAAACAAAAAAAACCCATTGTTGCAGCAATTGCTACATACAGTAGTAACTGCAGTGGACTTTTATTCGATTTTGATCAAGTGCACTTCATGCCTGCAGATGCAAACAGCTGCTTCTGAATATGTGTCAGAAACTGCTAAGACCTCTTCAGTCCTTCTAGCCATATCATCATAACTTTACCAGTGTCTAATCTTGCCTCTATAAAGAGGGACCCATGCAGCTCAGTGTGGAGATGGAGAGGTTACAGAAAAGCACGGATGAAATGGCTTGTCTCTGAGGCTTAATGACCTGCATGTATGACCCTCAGCTCCGTGTTTTCTTTCAGCTGCTTCTGCTGACACCATTTTCTCGGCCGTGTTGTGTTGCCTTATTGTGGGAGAGGTCTCTGTGTGGGTTTGTTCACCATGGAAATGGTTACTGTTTGCTCTATGCAAATTACACCACTTCGTGATGAATATGCCCTTTTCGAAGCTCTCAAGTTGTTTATAATTGTCTGAGTGCTTTCTGACGCGGTAATATACACATGGATTTGTTTTATCATTCTCTGTTACTGGAAAGCAGTAAGTAGTGTAGTGTTGACTGTAAACAGGATCCAAAATCAACTTGATTGAAATTTATTATCAGGGGTCTAAGCGCTCATGGGCTTGTTGACCTATGATATGCAGTTCATGTACATTTAAATATATAATGTTAGTATCTGCAGTTTGGTGTTTTGGTTTAGCCAGAATGCTTTATACTATAAATTCCCTTATCTTAATCACCTTAATTACAATCTTGGTTATTTTATTTATTTTAATGATGTGTGTGTGAATTGTGTGTGTGACCCTCAGCCATGCAGCCGGTGCTGGATAACCTCAAGGAGCTGCCGCCTTCAACAGGAGCCAAAGACATCGACCTCATCTTCCTCCGTGGCATTATGGAGAGTCCCTTAGTTTGTTCCCTCGCTAAGGTATAAACTAATACTTCATTTTTTAACTTCCTTAGTTTGATATCTATTAGGAGACATCAAATAATCAATTGCCATAATACTCAAATTTGTTAGATTTTAAATAGTCATTTAAATTATTAGTTAATATGAGAGCTTATATTTGCCACCTAATATCAGTATAAACCCCGTTTTCATGTGTGCACATTTGTGAGGCCAAGGGTTGTTTGCCTTGTCACAGGTCATAAGAATGTGATGTACAGGAGGCCTCTTCTTATTCTTAATATAGCTGTGTGAAATTGTTCAGATTGTGAGATGTACTGGTTGAGTTTCACTTGGTTTGATTAGGAGCTAACACGCTGTTGTGAGAAACATGTAGTCCGTGTTACTGTTCTGTCTGTTGATTTTATAGTAGGGCTGTGCGATTAATCGAAATCGTCATAAAATCGCGATTTGAGCATGCGCGATTTCTAAATCGCTTTATAGCACGATTTTCCGCAAGCTGACAGAGAGAGAGAGAGAGAGAAATTGATTGTAACTTATTTGTTCACTAACATTGTCTAACAGTGGCTTTCTTCATGTAGATCTCTCTCTCTCTCTCTCTCTCTCTCCAATTTCCACCATGTATCAAATTATATTTTTATAGATTATATACAATTATAGATTATTTTTTATTTATACATTTCAAACATACACTTCACTGACTGATTGCTGAACAAGAACACTAAATTGGAAAAAAACATTTGAGGCAAAATTTTTCAGTATGATGCAAATGACACTGGAAGTGAAAACTGGGTCTTAAAAAAAAGATTTTTTCACACGTTTCTTTAATTTCATTCTTTATCATAGTTTATTATTATTATTATTATTATGTATTTTTATAATTAAAGATTGAATGTCTGATTAGGACAAGGGTAAAACAATCAAATGTATTCATAGAATATTTGGAAAAATAACAAATATATGAAAGCATGATTAAAAATTTTTTTTTTTTTAAAGTGTAAAAATCTGTTAGTTTGAATAAATATCAAGCCCTGAGATACTTGATTAAATTATTATTCTTAATGATTAAATAAAATAAATGATTATTCTTAACATTTGTTAAAACTCTCTTCCATCTGTACCTGGCAGTGCATTTGTTAATGCTAGACGTAATCAATCTAGACGTAATCCATTAATCGGTTTCTTGGCAAGATACTCAAGTTATTTTGTCTCCGCCCATTCTCACTCAGGCTCATAAGCGATTGGAGGATGTTAAGCTGGTGGCGGTGCAAAGTAATAACGTGGAGCTAGTGAGTGAGATCCTGTCTGATATGAGCAGTCTGATCACTCAGGATGAAAGTGCAGCAGAACTCTGTAAGATCCTGAAGGAACCCCACTTCCAGGTACCAAACCTCTGTGTGTGTGTCTGTCTGTCTGTCTGACTGCCTCTTACATGACATTATGTTGACTGCTTACTTACAACTATTTATTCATCCGGTTGCTGTCTTGGTAGTAAAGAAGCAAAATCACCTCTAAACACTTGAGAAATTGGACAAATGAGTTGAACCTTTGTGTTTTTTTTAAAGGAAGATAATTAATTTGGTAATTTGTTGTTTATTCTCTAAACATGAATTGAATCCTCTTGGTATTTTCAGTCCCTGTTAGAAGCTCACGACAAGGTGGCCTCTAAGTCATATGAAGCTCCTCCCACCAGCACCAATTCCACCAGCATGACCAGCTCATCCCTCATGTCGGCTGACACTGTTCGCATGATCAGCATCCAGAAGAAGGCCGGAGAGCCTCTGGTGAGTGACAGATGTTCTCAGTCTCACAGGATTAGATCCCACAGTCGGTCAGATCTTTAGCTCTGTAGAGTCTCTCTACTCAGCTTGTGTTTCAAATCCATGCGGTTAGTCTGCTTTAACAAGATCTAGGCTTAATTGTTAAATTAGACCTTCATATACAAGGAAGATCTAAGGCCAACCAGTCTCGAGGAGATCTATAGCGATTTAACACCTAGTAAAATAAAATGTCATTATGTCTCTGCCAAGGTCAGAAATTCACCAGGGTGCTGGTTAAAAAGTCCACTGAAAACGACCTTTATTTATTCATTTATTGCATATTTCATTATATTATATTAAAAGCCACTGAAAATAACATTTAGGGATATTTAGATATTTTAATATATGATTTTATATAAAGTGTCACTGAAAGAAAGAAATGTTATTTTCACTGGCTTTTAATATAATTGGTAATATAATGCAATATACATTAAATGAATGAATAAGTAATGTTATTTTCAGTGACTTTTAATTAGATAATATAATCCAATAAATAAATGTAATTTTCAGTGGCTTTTACATATTACATTATATAAAATATATAATAGATAATATAATACAGTATCCCTTAAATAATTAAAATAATAATATATAATACAGTATTCCTTAAATAATTAAAATGACATTTAAATAAAATTTAAATGTTTAATTAAATTAATTTTAGATTAAAATTGTAATTGTATTTAAATGTTATTTTAATTATTTAATGGGATATTGTATTATTATTATTTGTTATATTAAAAGTTATTTTTTATGTAAAGAGATTGTATCATATATTAAAGGCCACTGAAAATAACATTTATTCATTTTGGTATATTATATTATATAATATTATATTATATTATTATGCCCTATAAAGTAAAAACAGAAAAAAAAGTTTTTCAAATATCATCCCTTTATAAAAAGTATGTCTGACTATTTGTGCTGGCATTTCTGAGATTCATGGTGTCGTGTCTTTTAGGGTGTAACATTCCGGGTGGAGGACGGAGACCTTGTCATCGCGCGTGTTATGCACGGAAGCATGATTGACAGACAGGGGATGCTGCACGCAGGTGATGTCATCCGAGAGGTGAACGGCCGAGAGGTGGGCAAAGACCCCATGGCGTTACAGCACATGCTAAGGGACTGCAATGGAAGCATCACACTCAAAATCCTGCCCAGCTACAGGGACACGCCTCCACCCGCACAGGTCAGCACACCACTGATTCACAGCAAACCCAGTGAAATTAAATGACACCAAAATCTAAAATATTCATCAACATTTTACAGACCAAAAATATTCACACCAAGTTAATGACAGAATTTGTTTAATTTTTATTAGATTATTTGTAATAAATAAATACAAATTGAATATACCTAAATTAATTATTTTGTATGTGAACAGTTAAATCAATCAGTCTAACCTCCAAACAGGAGTTTTTCATCCAAATTCAGATTTTGTGTACTCAATCACTTTTTATTTGTTACACGGCTGGTTTTGTGCAGTCCTTTTTGATGTATGGTACTGGGTTTCAGTAACTGAAATGCTCTAGTGTCATCTATTTAGTCAGACATGATTAATTTATTCCACAATAAAATGTGTCCAGTAAAAGAGAGGAAACTTTGAAAAGTGAGCATTTAAAGGGGACATCAGATGAAATTTATTTAGGTTTCTGGCATTTCTGCCAGCTCAGAAAAGCTGAAAAGAAAACATGCAGCCAGTTTAGCGAGCGGTTTCAATTTGCAGCCGGTTTCTATGTAGATAGCTAGCTATTTGAATAAGACCACCTCCGAGCCATATACGGATATATTCATTAAAGGTAGGGTATGTAATTTTTCAAAAACACTTTAGAAAACTGATTCGGGCCGAATAGCAAAACAAACTTGTAGCCAATTAGCAATAAGGGGCGTGTCTACTCGTGATGTGGAGCTGGCTACCAGAAATCGCTTACCCTGCCTATTTTGCTATTTTGATAGCTCCGCCCCACATATACACATCATGAGTAGACACGCCCCTTATTGCTGATTGGCTACAAGTTTGTTTTGCTATTCGGCCCGAATCAGTTTTCTAAAGTGTTTTTGAAAAATCACATACCCTGCCTTTAAGACAAGACAAGTGAAGAGAGGGGTGGGGTGAGCAGTAGCTCATTATCATTTAAAGAGACATGCACCAAAATGACTCACTGTGAACAGAGCTGTTTGTTTTACACGACAATTGAGGAATTTTAACCAAAGTATGTTGCAGACATTTCATGAAGACCCTAAAGAATCATACCAACTTGAAAAATGGGCATCTGATTTACCCTTTAATGCTACTGATATGACTGGACACTAAATAAGTGAACATGACTATATAATATATTTTCAAAAGTACTATTTTTCTTTGGGATTGGATTGGTAAGGATTTGATGAAGAAGATCATCCTAATCATCTGAACTGCTAGTATCTTTCCTAATAATCAGATGCTGAGAGTAGAAAACAATCTTGTCCCATAGTCCTGCTATTAGTGCTGTATAACCTCCTGATGGCTTATGGGTTCATACAGTCCTTGAGGAGGAAAAAGGAGAGACCTGTCCTCTGGGTGACTCAGAATGCCATCGGGCTGAAACAGAGCATGGTTATCCCTATTAATAACACGACCTGTGCTAAGTAGGGCAGATGGGAGGAGTTGAATGCATGCACACCCTTAGTTTCTACCCTAAGGAGATCTGGGCCTGGAAAGAAATAGATCCTGAAATTACTTGTTTTTTTTTTTTTTCTCTCTAATAATTTTTTTCTAATTATAGTGTTAGTAAAGTGTTTTGTACCACAATGAGTCATAATCGGGACATATAGGACTATAATGTACAACATATATGGTACAAAGAAATTGCACAAGTTAAAGGGTTAGTTCACCCAAAAAAGAAAATTCTGTCATTAATTACTCACCCTCGTGTTGTTCCAAACCCATAAGACCTTCGTTCATCTTCGGAACACAATTTAAGAGATGAAAATGCTGAATGAAAGTAATTTTTGTTTTCTTTGCGCAAAAAAGTATTCTCGTAGCTTCGTAACTTTACAGTTGAACCACTGATGTCACACGGACTACTTTGTCGATCATCTTGGTACTTTTCTGGACCTTGAACGTGGTAGTTACCTTGCTGTCTATGGGAGGGTCAGAGAACCCTCAGATTTCATCAAAAATATCTTAAATTGTGTTCCGAAGATGAACGAAGGTCTTACGGGTTTCGAACAACACGAGGGTGAGTAATTAATGACAGAATTTTCATTTTTGGGTGAACTAACCCTTTAAGCAGGTTTCACAAATCCACATGAATACAACTGGTTCAAATCCTGATCCAAACTCGTTTAGGTCCTCAAACAGTGCTGCTGCACATCAACCCTGTTACCATTTTCCCACTCTCTGAGAGCATACTTCTAAGCAAGTATGTTCTTTACCTACTTTCCTTGAATAAATACTGTTTAAAAACCTCGCACAAGAGCAAACACTGGGGGCGAGGGTTTACAGGCATCCATTCCTTGTGCCAAACCTACATTTCTGTCTTTTTTAGGCCTGAACTTTACTCGGTGACTTGGTTATGTGCAGTGAATGACCGCTGTGTGTTTATTGTTGGGAAATCATCACTGATAAAGATCCACCAGGAACCATAAATATTTCATGTGAAAACATACTGTTGTCCTTCTCTATGAAGCCCATTTACAACACACACTAACATAGGCTGTCTGTTACTCTTCATTTATTTCCCAAGCTGCAGTGTTCTATAGACAGACATATGAATGCAGATGTTAATCAATTTTAACATGTAAGCATTTTAGTCCTAATGGTTTTCTTTTGTTTTTTGTTAGATGGTTTATGTAAAACACCTTACCAGCTTTATCATCATTTGCATAATATGTCAAAGTCAACAGAGAATTTCTTTGGTCTGTGAGCTGTGACATGATTGCCTTTTTAGGCTATAATTAGCAGCTTAAAATGAATCCGATGTTAATAAACAGGAGTAACAACACTTTCTTTGCCCTTTAGGTGTATCTGAAGCCACATTTCACCTACAATCCTGACACAGATAATCTGATCCCTTGTAAAGAGGCGGGTTTGGCTTTCTCTAAAGGAGACATTCTGCACATAGTGAACAAGGAGGACCCCAACTGGTGGCAAGTGAGAAGCATATGAGTTTTTTTTTCAGATCTTTGTTTTGGTCTGATTTTTTTAATTGCCGAAATATTTGACATATTGAAGCTATGTAGTTTCTGTTGTTGTTGTTGTTGTTGTTTAGGCATGTAATATAAACGGAGGCCGCACTGGCTTGATCCCCAGTCAGTTTCTTGAGGAAAAGAGGAAGGCTTTTGTAAGGAGAGACCTGGATGGATCAGGTACAGAGGTTTAAGGAATGTTTCTTTTTTAATTTTAAGTCTAGTTATGGATTCAATTATTTTAAGGTTATATCAAAGTTTATTATATTTGCATTTATGCTGTAAACAATAAAGTTCCACCTGTGGGTTTGCTTTAGGAATCCTCTGCGGGACATTAACTGGAAAAAAGAAGAAAAAGAAAATGATGTACTTGACAGCGAAAAATGCAGGTTAGATTTGCAGGGGTTCTTTGTTATTAATGTTTAATCAAAAGTTTGGCGTAATTTTTTATTTTTTTGGCAAGTTTAGATTAAATTGATCAAAAGTGACAAATCTTTTGTAACACTATAAATGTATTTACTATTTCAAATAAATACTGTTTTTTTTTACTTTCTATTCTTCAAACAATCCTGGAAATAATGCATAAAGGGTTCCGCAGAAATATTTTATTAAGAGTTGTGCTGCTTAATAAGAAACAGTTGTGCTGCTTAATAAGAAATGTTTCTTGAGCACCAAATCAACATTTTTTGAAGGGTCATGTAACACATGTAACAAATTCAGCTTCGCCATTACAGGAATTAATAAAATTTTTAAATATATTAAAAGTTGTAGTAATACTTTTGATCAAATAAATGCAGCCTTGGTAAGCATAAGTACGGAGGCTGAAAGAGCTCAACGCGCTGCAACTTAAGAAAACATATGCAAATAGAAAAAGCACCAGCAAATTAAGAGAACATCTTCATCAGTTTGACAACACGTGTGCGGAAAATACCCACAACACAACCAAATACAGAAACACGCTGCAAATACTCTCAATGCGACCAAATACAAAAAAGCGTTGCAAGTAGCACAGACCACAATGGAAATGTTTCAAGGGGACCCCATCAACCCTTACGAAAATTAACCATGGTTTTATTATAGTAAAAGTGTAGTGACTTTTTTTTTTTTTGGCATAAAAAAAAAAACTGTGGTTATACAAATACCATGGATAAACTATATAGTTAGTGTAGCAAAACCATGGTTAATTTGTGCTTACCATGGTTTAACTATAGTAGTTTTTTTTTTTATAGTAAAACCATGGTTAATTTTCATAGGGGAAGTTGTGAAATTTAGCTAGCCAGATTACATAACACTTCACAGTTACAGTAATTGTGTATTTCGTCAGCTTATTTAAGCTAATTATATTAAGAAAGCTAAGGAATCATATGATCAGCTAGGATGTTAAAATAAACAAAAATCTCACCTTTCAGGGCAGACATTGATAAACATGTCTCAGACAGGGTCGTCACTTGTTGCAGTTCCATTAAACATTCCATTGTGGTCTGTGCGTATTTACAGCGTGTTTCTGTATTTGGTTGTGTTGTGAGTGTTTGCAGCACATGTGTTGTCAAACTGATGAAGATGTTTTCTTAATATGTGACCCTGGACCACAAAACCAGTCTTAAGTCACTGGGGTATATTTTTAGCAATAGCCAAAAAAAACATTGTATGGGTCAAAATTATGGATTTTTCTTTTATGCCAAAAAAATCATTAGGATATTAAGTAAAGATCATGTTCCATGAAGATATTTTGTAAATTTCCTACCGTAAATATATCAAAACTTAATTTTTGATTAGTAATAAACATTGCTAAGAACTTAATTTGGACCATTTTAAAGGCGATTTTCTCAATATTTTGATTTTTTTGCACCCTCAGATTCCAGATATTCAAATAGTTGTATCTCGGCCAAATATTGTCCTATCCTAACAAACCATACACCAATGGAAAGCTTATTTATTCAACTTTCAGATGATGTATAAATCTCAACTTTGAGAAATTGACCCTTGTGACTGGTTTTGTGGTCCAGGGTCACATTTGATGGTGTTTTTTCTATTTGCATGTGTTGAGCTCTCTCGGCCATCATACATAAGAGACTTCTTTCAAAAACATAAAAAATTTGATTCTTATCATTAAAAAAAAAACTTACCCCAAACTTTTAAATGGTAGTGCAAGTATTCTTTTTAAAATTAACTTTCAAAACTTCTCTCTTTCTAATAGAATTTGATCGCCATGAATTACAGATCTATGAGGAAGTGGCAAAGATGCCGCCATTCCAGAGAAAAACTCTTGTGCTGATTGGTGCACAAGGAGTGGGCCGCCGAAGCCTCAAGAACCGCCTGATTGTGTTGAACCCACTGCGATATGGAACTACTGTACCTTGTGAGTCTATAATCAACATTGGTATTGTTAATAATTATTACATTAATAATTAATACATTTGTCATTTTAGCAATAAAAAGTCTCATCAGAATTTCATCTGTTTCTCAGTCACTTCTCGGCATCCACGTGATGACGAAAAGGACGGCCAGTCGTACTGCTTTGTGTCCCGGGAGGAGATGGAGACAGACATCAAGGCAAGTCGCTACCTTGAGCATGGAGAATATGACGGCAATCTGTACGGAACCAAAATCGACTCCATCCATGAAGTGGTTCACACAGGACGTACTTGCATACTGGACATCAACCCACAGGTGCGTGGTTTTGTGAATGACAGAAAAAAACAAGAAGTTTAAGCAAGTTAGGTTTTGGTATTGTACTGTATATTGAAATCTGTAATAGAACATGTTTTCATAATCATGTCCAGGGATTCCTAAACTTGTCAGTGAAACACCTTTGAGATCAAATATTTACTTAAAGAATCCCTGAGATTATAAAGCCGTAATGAAATTGAAGTAGCGACAGATCTTTTCTTCCATATTGTGATGTACATCCAACTGAAACCTATTACTGGAAAAGGAAAAAATGTAGGACAGGCACTTGGTTCTATCCATTGTTTGTTGATTGGATGAAATAAGAGCTGAATGTGAGCTTGCAGTTGATTTTAAGAAAGGGGCGGGGTTTAAAGCAGCACTATGTAACTTTTGGCGCTCTAGCGGTTAATAAACAGAATTGCACACATTCCGCGGAAGAACATTCCAACCGGAGCTACTTCTCTAAGTTTATGTCTATGGCGATTCACGCAGGTATGTGTTACTCCGCAGCGGTGACGACCCAACCAGGCTACAATAGTCCAAATATAAGTACTTATTATAAGTGTACCGTAGTGATTCGGAATAAGACAAAAACGGAACACAGAACACAGTAACTTTTTTGAACACAGAAAAAGTTACATAGTGCTGCTTTAAGTAGGCTAAATGAATGGAGAAGTGGTGAAAAAAAACATACATGGATGAATCATTCACAGTATGATCAGTAACATGCATTTGCAAAATGGTACATTTTCCTTTTGTAGTGACATAATAGTAAATAAATTAATAAAGTATACAAAGTATTTTTCCCCCCAAAAATTATTTATTGAGCTTTTTATAAACTCACGAACCCCCTGCAGTTTTCTCAGTTTGGGAAACCCTAAAGTTATGGTTCTTGAGGACCCCTGACACTGCACATTTTTAGTTTTATATAAAAAAATTATTCAGCATCTTAAAAATGCAATGCTTATTGTGCAAGAAAATGGGAAAAGATCCGTCTCTGAACACTGCCATCTGAACTCTGGTGCAGTTCGAATGAAATATGAACGTAACACAGACCAAAGAGATGCAAACAAACCAATAACAGGACATGATGTCACAAGATGCGACCCTAACAAGGACAGAATGCTCAAGCAGACCTGTTTTTCATATAGTCGCGACGTTGCCCATCAAAGCTCAGTACAGGCATCAGAACCACGTCTCCTCACAGCTTCACCTGTGTGTGTGACGGAGGGATTCCTGCCACTGTTCTGACTCCTTTACACATTTTATAAGCTCTTCATGAGTTCTCAGCTGGTCAAAATACCATCATATGGAGGCTACGAACATACAACAAATGCATTTAGCCTGTTGCGAAATCTGTCATAAAAGCCGACCAATCAGGTTGTGAACGTATCCCTATGCCTTTAGGTTCGGTATTAAAATGCCAATGTGAATGCTAAGCGGACCAGGACTAAATGTTTTTTTTGTGTTTTTTTTTTTAGTCCGGACCAAGCAAACCGAGCTACACCCTAAAAGTTGATTACTTTAGAAATGCATGGTCTAATAGCACAGCACAGTGTCAGCTTTTTCTCAGAGAAGGTGCCTGTTTTAATTCATCCATTTAAGCACCAACACTAAAAAAATCACTGATTTACCTGATAATCCAAGTTGTAATTTGGTAATTACAATGTTATAAATGTGAAAGTATGGGTGAAGATGAATAGATAGTCTGTGTAAATGTGCCTGTGTGCTGCAGTCATCAATGCAGTCCAGACATGACTTTTCAGTGAAACATTTAAAAATTCAGAGGGTTCGCAACTAGGTGTTGATCTGGTGGTGAACTCAAGAATGATTGCCTAATGTTTTTTAAATGGTCTCGGATCAGTGTTATAATGTATTGAGCGCTTCGGAACAGTGAATCGTTTGGTTTAGTCGATTCAGAGCTTCAAAAAGCTTTAGTTTCTCCCATCACTAACAAAAAGACTTTATTTGATAAATGTGCTCTGCAGGCACTAAAAGTACTGAAGACATCAGAGTTCATGCCATTCGTGGTTTTCATCGCCGCCCCAGAGCTCGAGACACTACGGGCCATGCACAAAGCTGTGGTGGATGCTGGGATCACAACCAAGCTACTGACGGTCAGCCTCATTTCTGTTTAACAAATTCACTTTCTCAATTTTTTTTCCCAATAATGTAGAAACATTAGAGAGTTACCATAGGCTCTGAGATATGCTTCTTTAGAAGCTACTATTAAGTGTGATGACTTTTCTTTTTGTCTTTTTAGGAAACGGACCTAAAGAAAACAGTGGACGAAAGTGCCAGGATCAAGCGGGCATACAATCACTACTTTGATTTGACTATAGTTAATGACAATCTGGACAAGGCCTTTGAGAAACTGCAGGCAGCTGTGGAGCAGCTGGCCACACAACCACAGTGGGTCCCTGTGAACTGGGTTTACTGAGACGTACAGCGGTCCAGACACCCCATCATCATCATCATCGGTGGCACAATGATAGGTCAGCGGCACAGAACACAAGTTCACATTCAACGGACCCACCAGTCACTATGCAAATGTACACTAGCCATCCGGTCACGACAGACATAAGGGAAGTGTACTTATTTATTTACATTTTTTTATTTTCTACTGACTAAACTTAAATAGTTGGAGGGAAAAAACAAATAGGATTTTTTTTTTTGAATGGCTCGTCATTAAAAAAAAATAATTTTCCAAATAAGTATAAGCTGCATTATAGTATTTAAAGCAGGGGACTGTTTTCTTACTGTAATTTTAGTGTGACAAACGTTGGTTTACAGTGCAGGATTCATCTCACATCTCTTCATCTTTCTGAAACGTGCTGTCATACAGTTCAGTCACTACAGTATGCCAAATTATTTAAGCAGCTTTAGTTTATCCAGCTTCTGACTCGATAAGATCTTCGTAAGTGTCATCCTGTTTTCCTCTTTGATTTCATTTGAGTTAAATTCAAGGAATGCTAGGAGTAAGCCAAATTTGACTAAGTATCACAATAGCACTTTATTTTACAGTCCTGTTTTGTACGTACTATAATAACTAGGTACTAATCCTGAACCTAACCTTAAAGCCCAGAGTATACTTCAGTTTTGATGCAAATGCTTAAAGGGGTAGTTCACCAAAAAAATTGTCATTTACTCACCCTTGCGTTGTTCCAAACCTGTATGAATTTCTTTCTTTTGTTAAACATAAGATATTTGAAAGAATGTGGGAAACCGAACAGTTGTTGGTCCCCATTGACTTCCATAGTATGGAAAAATACTATGAAAGTCAGAGGAGACCAGAAACCATTTGGTTACCCACATTCTTCAAAATATCATCTTTTGAGTTCAGCAGAAGAAGAAGAAATTCATTCCGGTTTGGAACAATGTGAGGGTGAGTAAATGATGACAGAATTAAACTATCCCTTTAACAGGTGTGAACTTCTGCTTCATCCCATTTGCTTTTTATTTTCCCCCCCTACTGAGACTATGTGCAGAACAAATGTGCACCTTGTGGACAAACTAATTAGTGTGAAAAAGTTTATCTGACAGATGCTGTGCCTAAAATCGAATACTCCCCTACTACATAGTAGGGCTGTGCGATTTGGGGGAAAATATCAAATTGCGATTTTTTTTTTGACAGATATTGCGAATAGTATGCAAAAAAACTGTACGCAAACAATAGTATTACGTCCACATTTTTTAATGGTTGCAAAGTAAATTCCAGTTCAAATTTCAGACGATTTCAGACGCACTGAGAGTTTTTATGAGGTCTCTGCAGATCAAAAGTGAACATTTTCAAATTGGTGGGTGTTTCTAAATAATGCAGTGAAAATGATGCCCCTTACCTGACCCCACCCCTAAACACAAGAGTTACTGTAATGTGAGCCAATCAGGTAACGCGGTTGAAAACACCCCTCGTTTTGGCCTCGCCCACCAATCTGGTAACCCATTACTGTCCTGCATAGACCTATACTTGGACAGTGTATGCATGGTACGAAAAATCTGGCTAGCGTATAGTACCCACGGACTATGCTGATGACGAAATTTAAATCACATGCACTACACATACCCTAGTGAACCTGTAAAAATCTATACTTTAGTTTTGACACGAATGCTTAGCTTATGCATGCAGCTGAACACAGCCTTTCAAATATCATCCATTTGAATAGTGTCAGGCGCACTAGAAAGTTTCTTTCTTGTCCAGTGTCTGCACCAATTCTGATAAAAATGTCTTTATACTCTTAAAGTGCCCCTATTATGCCTTTTCGAATATTACCTTTCATGCAGTGTCATCATGTAGCTGTATGTGAACATAAACTATCTGCAAAGTTGTGAAGCTGACCGTGCACGATAAATAAAGTTATTGTCTGTCAAAAAAAATCACCTCACCTAAAGCTCACAATCACCTAAACGAGTTGTCAGGAATTCGAATCTTATTCTGTTACGGCTCTACGTCACGAAGTAACACGTTTGCATAATGTCTGCCCACGTTCTACGTCGCCAACTTGCCCGCCCACAAACAGTAAAATAAGGTCCTGCTCCAGTCGTGCTTGCGAATCGAGACGGTTCAACCGTTTCATCATCAGACTCCGGCTCGAATTTGTAAGGTACAATCAATACCATCTTTTCTATGTATTGACAAGTCTCCAGGGCTGTCATTCCGACATGGCAATGGGCGTTTAGTTTCCGACACGCGCTGTACGCGGTAGACCAATCAAGAGCCAATATCTCTACGGCTCTGGACCAATCACAAAGGACTGCGCCATCTGACCAATCACAACAGTGAGGGCTCACGGAAAGGAGGGGTTTAGAGACCGATTCTTTGAACTGCTTTGCACGAGTCGTTTACGAATCATTTAGAAATGAGGTAAAATTAAATACATTTGAGAAAACTAACGTGTTTTTGTTGTAAACATGTATGTAAACATGTTTAGGAGGCTCATAAAGCAATATTATCAACCTTAAAAATGGCATAATAGGGGCACTTTAAATTAGTTGCATCTGTCTCTTAACTGCCTCACACAAGTGCTTGTCAACGCGGGTGGTTATTGTTCTCCAGTAATTTGTTGTTCCATGTCATTCATTTCTTTTTGGACTGTGAAACAACGTCCCAGGCCAGTGTTGCCACCTTGTGGAAAAAGTAATTAGTGCAAAAAAAATTCAAGGCCCTTGCGGGAGCTGTGTAAAGTACTGCAAACATACTATACTCGGCAGTATAATGAAGTATGCTTTGGGCTTAAGGGTTGGTTCACGCAGAATAAGTTTTTGTGTTCCACTGCGCTGCTTTTTAATTGTTTTATATTAATGCTTCCCACTACTTTTCAGTGTCTTGTTTTGGTCAAGTTGAAAATGCTCAACCTTGGCTGATTATTCCATTCATCAGCGCTGCACCTCTGCATTTGGATGTATTTGCGCGGCACCTGTAGTTTTTTTTAAAAGCAAAAGCCTGTTCTGTGTGAACAGCCCCTAAACCTAATCTTAACTCAAGTCTAATTTACCTTATATTACTCAGTACTTTATGCAAGTAAGTGCATGTACTATAAAATAAAGTGGATCCAATATCATTGTTTCAATTGTATCGTTGCAGAATTATGAGCTTAAGTCATTGTGTTGCTTGTATGTGATCGTATACAGAATCAGCACTGTCTTTAGCTAAATGCCTTTTACACAGGCACAAAATCACATTCACACATGGAATATAGACCAAGTGTCTTGATCACAAGCTACCTGGCCTCACAGATTCATAACCTGTCATCTAGCTGTATTGTGATGTACCTCTGTCCCTGGTGACTTGCTCCAGTGTCTTTTTCAAGGCTTTGTAACTCAGATTTTTATCCAGCTTACTTATTCACTTGAAAATTCTATATTTTGTGATACAGAGAGTTGTATTTTCTGAAATTAAATGGCGGTCTAATAAATTAATCTTAATTTTGGATCACTTTACTTGAGATTCTTTTTATTTTCTGGTGTGCATATGATTGTTCTCCTTTAGTTTAGATGGCAGGAAAGTGGGTTCAGGAAATTAGAAAAATGGACAAAATATGATGTAAACAATTTATTGTGCATTTTCACAAGAGTATATGTCCACTTTAAAAGGTTTGATAGTGCAGAAGTGCTTTTTTTTTTTTTTTTTTTTTAAAGAAAATTTATTACTAATATTTTAAAAGTTTCCAAATTATTATTGTTTTTACTATGATGTCGTCATGCATAAAACAGCTGAAAGGCCACTTAAGTATCCATTTTTTTCCTTCTAGTCCCAGTTTGTAGATTGTCCACTCACAGGCTTTAGTGCCCTTTGGTCTTCAGGTTACAGCAGGTATTTTGGCTTTGCTGTTGTACTCCATTCAGACAGGGGTGCTAGAGATGCCAAGCCTTGAACTGCAATGCACAGCATGAGGGGATGGCGATCCTGTGGGTTGCTGATTTTTGTAACAAGCGAATCCTTCTCCTTAAGCAGTGTCACCTTACAGGAAGCAAAGAGTGATCTTCTTGAAAACCTCATCGGTTAACGCAGCCAAAGCAGCATCTTTCAGAGAGGACTTCTTATTTTACACCTGCAGGACAATGGACACGTCATATAGGCAGAGAAATGAAGCTCTGTTGCTTACATGTACAGAGCTGCTCAGTTTGTTGTCCTACAAGCCAGAAGATAATTAGCATGCTAAAGTTAATGATTTCCCTAAGGAATTTTTATAATGTTTTTATAACTATTTTTTTATAATGATGGCTCTGGATTTATGAGTAAATTAAGGCCTGTAGTTCACACCACTTGACTTTTACGAAGCTTGCCAACAAAACAAATTCTGTCATTATCACTACACAACCTGTGTGTGTCTTGTTGAAATGTCCTTGAAGATTAGCTAAGGTGGCCAACTGTGCTAGAACCACCAAATATTATACCTATTTAACCTTTTTTTGTTGACACCCTTGTAATTTACACACATCCTCAGGAATTTAACCAGTTTTCTGCTTTCAAACCCTATGCTACCATTCAAATGTTTGGGGTCTGTAAGATTTTTGTTGGACTGTTTTTGAAAAGTCTTTTATACTCACTAAGGCAGCATTTATTTGATCAATAATTTATTCCTGTTATGTCAAAGCTGAAATTTCAGCATTACTCCAGCCATTACATTCACATGATCCTTCATAAATTATTGTAATATGCTGATTTGGTGCCCAGAAAACATTTACTTGAAATGGAAATCTATTGTAACATTATAAATGGCTTTACTGTTACTTTTGATCTATTTAATGCACCCTTGCTAAATAGAAATATTAATTTATTTAAAAAATCTTACCCAAACTTTTGAACCGTTGTATAAGTTGCTAAATAAGCATTACAATTGATTGTATGACTCGTGTGAACTCGCATCCAAATTTTAGCAATTGGTTAGCCACTTAGATCCATCAAATGTCACATCTGAGGTATGACACTGTAATTTATGTTGCAAAACAACATGTGAAAGTCTCTTCAAATAATGTTCCCCACAAGCATTTGTGGCAAAATGAGTCGGAATGAGCAAATTTTCAAAAAATTAGTTCTCTTCATTTTCACATTCTACATTAAAATACCTTCAAAATAATATCTAACTTGTTGGAATGGACAAAAAAATGACGACTCTACAGCCGTTTGAAGGCGATGGAGTCAGCAAAGTCAATTTTGAGAAAATCGAGTTAAAGTTTTCTAGATTCCAAAGCAAAATCACCAAGAAACGTTGCATGTTTCTTTTCTTAGGAATAATTACTATATTATTAATCACAATATAGCTGTTTTTTTATTTTATCTTTGTTATTAAAAATAAGAACAAAGATGCAAACAGTCGTTTAATCAAGAGCAGTGAACGATTCCGTATTTTCTTTTAAAGGGGTCATATGATGCGATTTCAAGTTTTCCTTTCTCTTTGGAGTGTACTATCAAGACAGATCAATATTTTGACCTAATGTAATGCATGGATCTAATATGTTAACCATCAGATTTTTCCCCAACCATTAACTAAACGTTCATGTAAGACATAACAGATTATGTTTGTGTGAATCTCGCCAAGACATATTTCGCAATAATGTACTTTATAGGGAGATCGTGCGTTGTCGGAGAGGCGCGTGGCTTTACAAATGTCACTCAGCGCGATCGTTTTGTTTTCATCGGCATGGGTTTGAAAATCATATTTTACTAGTTCAGACTCATGCCATACAGAATTCGCTATGAATATTCATAAAGCTGGAATGCTGCGCTTTGCAACGACATACAACTTGTGGTGAGAAGCAGCAGCAGTCGTCCAGAAGTGAGAAGAGAAAAAGGTACTCCTCTCAGAAAACGTACAAATAAAGATCATTTGAGATGTTTAATTACTATTTGAAGCATTGGGATCACTAGAAGAGGGCTTAATGAACACATTTTTGCGAAAACCTCAAATTCGACCAAAACTGACATTTCTTTTGGTTATAGCTCAATATTAGACTGTGCGCATTCCGACTCATTTTGCCAGCACCGGTCACATTTTTACTCAATAATCCAACCCGCAAACAGGAAATTACAGAGGGACCCCATAGCTAGTAGCCCTGCAAGAAAGTCTATAAGATGGCATCATGACTGAATACTTCTATTAAACAGGCCAAATTTATTACATATGGTATTAATGTTTCCAGTTTTGATGGAAAAACCGTTATTAATACTAAGTACTGTTACTTAATATGAAGATACTTACAAGATGAAGCAGAGCTTGCAGGGTTGTGCAACTGTAGCAGGATTTGAGCTCAAACAGGGCAGAGACCTTCATCTCTACATGAACACATGATTGTTTATGAGAACAAGGGTCAATTGACTGCAGGTGTATGACCATGACTCTGGCCTTGTGGCTGACAATAATGCATAGAAAGTGAAATTACTGATTGCTTTTATAACCAGATAATTACTATACAACTCCATCTATGACCTTTATTCATCAAAATGCTTTCACTTGAACTGAACTGCTTTCCAGAGGTACAAGCTCCAGCGTGGCCTTCAGAGCAGGCACCTTATCTAATGTACTGGGATCAGGCTGCGTGCCACCACACAGGTCCTCTAGCTGAGAGAGGGACAAACAAGTCCAAAGACATCCAACATGTCTATTATTACTGTACTCTACCGTTCAATCAATGAAAACAAAAATCAATCCACCAAAGATGCATTAAACTGATCAACAGTGACACTGTACTTTTATAACATTACATAAGATTTCTAGTTCAAATAATTTTTTTGAACTTTACATTCATCATAGAATTCTGGAAAAATTAGTTGAGCAGCACCAACTGACTTTAACATTGATAATAAGAAGAAATATTCCTTTAGCACAAATCAGCATGTTATAATGTTCCTGTGGCTCAGTGGTAGAGCATTGCGTTAGCAGCGCAAAGGTCGTGGGTTCAATTCCCAGGGAACACACATACTGATAAAAAATGTATAGCCTGAATGCACTGTAAGTCGCTTAAAGCGTCTGCTAAATGCATAAATTTAATAATGATTTCTTAAGGATCAAGTGACACTGAAGACTCGAGTAAACTGTAGTAAATGTTTTAAAAATGCAGCTTTGTCATTACAGGAATAAATAAAATTTTAAAATATATAGAAACATTTTAAATGGTAAAATTTGAACATATTACTATTTATTGCATTTTTGATCAAATAAATGCAGCCTTGATGAGCTTAAGAGACTTCTTTTAAAAACAAAAAAGTATTACCAACCCCCCAAACTTGTGAATGGTTATTTGTGTACATTTATATACCCTCAATTTCGAGGTTTTTTTCTTGACATACATATATTAAAGATATTTAGGCATTTATTGTAGAATAATTCCTACTTTTTCAAACAAACAAAAAAGTAAGATTCCCCCGGCTCACTCACTGCGTCCATCCTCCAGCTTGCTGATGGCTGCACTGTCCTGCAGGAGCAGAGAGATCTGCTGGAATAATGAGGAGCATGTGCTGGATGGGAGTTTAGAGAGAACTGTAAACTGCCCCGGAGTCCTTCCAGATCTAAAGAGAGAGAAAGTAAATCTTTATTAAAACATTTTTTATGGAAATAAAATAAACTCTATAGTATTAACCAACTGTCCTTACTCAAACTCCATTAGGTCAATATACAACTAATCTCCAACACTCCCCCCATCAGTCACTGGCTGCAACCAAAATCGCATACTCTGAGTAGGTACTACTTTTGAATAATTAATTAATGCTCAGCCGTGAAAATGTATGTTCTACGGTAAGAAGAGAATTGTCAGAATTGTGAGATAAAAAGTCACAATTACCTTTTTTGTATCTCTTTGCGGAAATGGGCTTCCACAGTCTTTACTACTTAATCATTATTTTTGAAATATAAATTTTTTTTAAATGTTTTTTTTTAAAAACCTTTTCCCCCTTTAAACTAGACTCACACAATTCTAGACTCTAAATTTCACAATTGCCTAATATAATAATGTGATATAACAATCAAGCATACTTAGAAAAGCAAAGCATATTTCTTAGACAACTTCAGCCTTAAATTTCAGTTTGTGATCAAGGGCAAACAAAAAAGGGAAGGGAGAACTTCATGGAAAAACAGAAATATAACAAGAATTTTAAGCACAAACAACACGCCATGTACAGTATCTCACAGAAGTGAGTACACCCCTCACATTTTTGTAAATATTTTATTATATCTTTTCATGTGACAACACTGAAGAAATGACACTTTGCTACAATGTAAAGTAGTGAGTGTACAGCTTGTATAGCAGTGTAAATTTATTTCCTTATTTTCATTCACCAGTGTCCATATCTGTCACTACAGGTGAGATTCACTTGTATTTAAACCACATTCCATATCACAACACTCTCTTATCTGACCAAGCTTGTGAAGGCAGCAGCTCTAAACTGGGTGTGCCTCACACGTCCTAAAAAGTGAAGCTGCGGGCTCTTTGATCACCCCCTGGTGGCTGGCTATAAATATTATACAGGTAATAAACCCCGCCCTCTCCATGTAAACGAAAGGGATGAGTCAAAATAAAAAAATAAATTACACTTCCAATACAATTTTCCGAAATATGGTTTTGGTCATTTAAGGTAGTTGTTATCACGTTGATATATGTTCAATTGTTCGTTTTTGTGAAAAGTTTGATTTTAGCTAGTAATTTGATGCTATAAAAACAGGGCGTGTCGTTATGGTTGATTGGGTCTGCGGGAGTTTGATACCGCGGCTCCAACCCACAACACTACTGCGCAGACTCTGGCTCCCGAATCTCTACTGCGCAGACTCTGGCTCCAACTGACGTCATTTACTCAAGATGACAGCGGCCATACTGAGATGCTTTGGCTTCACTTTTCTATAGTGGAAGGAAGTGGAGACGCGTCGTCCATCTTTTTTTACAGTCTATGCTCTAAACACACTCATCTGGTCAGTCCCTCACCTAGATTTGGAATCCTGTACGAGCTTCTGGATATCTACCTCCTGTTTCATTAGGTTTCCAAACGATGACTGAAGTTTGCTAGAGTATATTTTAAACATAATAAAGTATATTTTAGTTTACTGTTAATCTATTTCAGACAACAGAATTATGAAATCACAAATAAAGATGTACTTAATTCCTACTTAAGTGGGTCATAAAAGCACTCTAAAGATCAGCTTACTGCAGATCTTTCTATTTTTATATTTAAAGGGGTCATATGATTTTGCTAAAAAGAACATTATTTTGTGTATTTGGTGTAATGAAATGTGTTTATGCGGTTCAAGGTTAAAAAAACATTATTTTCCACATACTGTACATTATTGTTTCTCCTCTATGCCCCGCCTTTCTGAAATGCGCCGATTTTTACAAAGCTCATCGGTCTGAAAAGTGAGGTGTGCTCTGATTGGCCAGCTATCCAGTGCGTTGTGATTGGTCAAATACCTCAAGCGTGTGACGGAAATGTTATTCCCCTACCATACTGTGATGCCTTGTCCCGGCCGGAGCCACGAGACAAAAACATGAAAACCCATTATAAACGAGGCATTTGTAGCATCCAGTGGGGACATAATTACGGATTATAATGACTTACTGTCTTTTTACGCGTTGTGTTGCATCACGCCGCATAAACATAAAACCATGTCTGCATTTGTGATCGGAGAAATGACAAACAACAAGCGCTACTCTACACTGCTCAACTAGACGTGAATGCTTGCACTACCAAACTTCACAGATATACCCTATTAAAAAGGTTCCAAAAGGATGCCACAGAAGAACCATTTTTGGTTCCCCAATCTTTTAGTCAACATTTTAAGAACCATGTACGTAAAAGGTTCTTCACGGAACCACAGATGCCAATAAAGAACCTTCAATTTGAAGAGTGTAGATCTGAAATAAAAACAACAAAGAACCATCTTTAAAATGAGACTTTATTGAAGGACAGAGGAAACGCTGCAGCGATCAACACGCAAGTCCCCCAGTCCCCCAACATCATTCGTTGTAGTGCGTAGTGAACTGAGCACAGGTTACAGGTCAAACTGTGAGGAAGAAGCTTTCAAACACTGGCAGGCTCACGTGTGTGATGGTCATGTTCAGTATTGTTGAGCCATCTGTCAGTCTTGTGAATAAGTTAAGATGTATATATAAATATTTCTGAGAACCTCAAACATTTTGTTCATTCAAGTGTCTCAGAGTAAAAGGCGGTCATAAAATTACAATACTTTGTGACGATACATTGGACTTGATTAAAAGTTCTAGCAAAGTTTATGTATATAATTTTATATAAGGCATTATATGGATTATATTCATAGTCTAATATACATCATAAATTCCTCGACATTTTAAGAGGTAGACAACGCAGTTTTGTTCTGACAACATACTATCCATCTTTTTAAAGGTGCGATCACCTGCAGTACTACGTTTAGCCACAAGGGACCACAATCCAACAGTTTTTCTCTTGGTTTCTTGTGCTACTTACTATGCACATCAGCCAAAAAAAAAATTACTGGGCAGGATTGCATATTTCTCATACTTCCAATGGAACCATTTGCATAAATGACACTACAACATAATGTAAGCATATTAAGGCAATGAACTGCTGGGACATTAAATAATAAATATTAAGGAATGATTTGAAACGATCAGATTGTAATTCTGCAGCCACCGGTCTCTCACAGCTTTATCAGTCTCTACCTCACAAGGTGTGTGTTGTCTCTGGAAGGTGGAACAGTTAAGAGCAGGCAACAGTGAGCACAGATGTATATTGGCTGCCTCTGGGTTACCAGAGGACCGGACAGTCAAAGTTACTGAATCCAGGATCTTTCCTTAACTCCCAGTAAGTGTTGTTGCTCACCCAGGTGTCATCTCTGGACTTTCTGTTGGTGATTAAGCAGAAAATCGTTTTAACAACTAACTGGATTTGGTCATGCAATGTATTTTTCTTAAAAGGACAAGAAGTAGGGTAGTTCGTTCATACTGGAAGAATCGAGGTTGATGTGACATGTGGTTGTCCTCCAGGACTCTGCGTCTCTCTCGCTGCAGCTGTTCGATCCTCTGCTTCTGCACCTCTGCAGATTCAATGTTCCCTTCCTCCAATAACCTGCACCCACAAACAGTCTCATATGAAATTAATTTTGTCCTTGCATAACATGACTGATGCATTGATGCTTAATAATCACATTTCAGTTTCTTCTAAGATACTGAAACTTCAAAGTATTGATAATTGTTTCTTTGTCATTGATATTACCTGCTGCAATATTAATTAAAACTGAACTAATAATAAAACTATTAAAATTATTTTTATTAATTGAAAAAACAAAAAAATAGAATGAAATATAAATATCAGCTGATGAAATTAACAAACATTTCGTGAAATTTAGAAATGTTTAAAAAATTTAAGTACTAAACTTACTAAAACTAAAAACTGAAAATAAAATTAAAGCTTAATAGAAATATTTTGAAAAACAAAAACTAATAAAATGACATAAGCACATAGCAAATTACCAAACCTTAAACTAAAATGAAAATATAAAAATAAAAGATAAAAAAATATAAAATTAAAAATGATAAAACATTAGAAATATTAATAGATACTATAATAGTATATAAATAATATTAAAATAACCTTGATCTACTGCCCATTGGATATTTCTATTCTTTTTATTTAGTAAAGCTTTCATTTATTCTATCATTGTTAATTTTAGTTTATTTTAAATTTATTAAGGCCAAAGTTGCCTGGTATCATTTAAAAATGTTTAACAGCATTACGTTTATCAGCACAGCTCATTGAGCTCCATAGCAAACTTAGTGAAACCGTAGTACTGCTCATAGTCAGGAGGCATGGGATCTGTACACATAAACATACACAAATAAAAGTTGATGATAAACTGTTTTCATTTAAATACATTCTGAAATATTAGCCAAATGAATAAAGAAATACTAAACACTAGCAACTGTATCGTCTGGGAAATACATGAGCCAGAGGGCACCAGAAAAATGTGGCACATGTAAAAAAGAGGGCAGACTGTGTGTGTGTGTGTGTGTTGATTCCTACTCATCCTCCAGATGCAGGTAGCAGAGGGTGGGCTGCCGCAGTACATCCCCTCGTGCCATTTCCCAAACAGCTTGTGCACGACTTTCCCTTTGTGATCTGTGACACCTCCCTCCACCTCATTCATGCTGGAGTTCCAGTACTTCGCCTATGAAGGACACAGACATGTTTGATCTGAGCACTCCCGAACAAAGAAGTGTGTACATATAGTATTTAAAGGAGACCACCTGGGTTAATTACAGTGATACTGAACAAATGAGTGAAAATACACAGAATTAATTCACCATCAAGGTATCACTAATGTGGCGTTATAATGAACTTTGCTATTTAACAGCAAGGTCAGATGGAGATCTCCAGCAGATGTCATACTTGAGTCAGTCAGTAAGCTTAATGTATCTCAGTGGTGATGAACCATGAATAAGTATCTGACTTTTGTAGAATCTCATTCTGTCCCATTTCTTGTTTTGATCTTGCTCTCCTTTGCCCTAATTGATCTCCTCTGTCTGATCTCTTTCTGTCTTTTCTTCACCCCTTAGAAAAGCCTTGACCCATTGTTCTTGAAGTCTGCTGTCAATTATTTCAACTGTGCCACACAGATCCCTCATTAGATGCTAAAGAATGTGGTGCTCTCTGAAAGGCCAGGAAGAGTTGACTGACACGTTTTAGGTCACGTGTGACCAACACGTGTGAAGGATGTTAGATGGTGAAACGTGGCAGATTTGAATCACAATAACAACTGGTCCAATACATCTGTTTAAAGGGGTCATATGATGCGATTTCAATTTTTCCTTTCTCTTTGGAGTGTTACAAGCTCTTGGTGCATAAAGAAGATCTGTAAAGTTGCAAAGACTAAAGTCTCAAATCCAAAGAGATATTCTTTATAAAAGTTAAGAGTCAGCCACGCCTACCTAAAACGGCTCGTTCTAACACACCCCACATGTCTACGTCACGATGTGAGAAGATTTGCATAACGCCGCCCAAACGTTCACGCAAAGAAAGAAGGCGTAACTTAAAAATATTTGGCTGCACAACTGTTGATAATTCTAATAATAAATCAGCATATTAGAATGATTTCTGAAGATCA